CTGAAGCACCAACATCTGTTAATATTGAACATGTGTTTTGTAATAACCTTCAACTGATGAATCATTCGTTATTGCCAAATATATCATAGTAAACATTACCTGATTTGGAAAATTGAGTGGTAAATGTACACGTTGTACACCTTTCCCTCCAGCAATTTTTCCCATTTCTAAATAGCCATATAAGCTAATTATAAAGAATCTTATGCAGCTACTTTAAATATATAATTGATTCTTATAAGATAATTCAATCAAATATAATTAAATTAATATAAATATTAAAAATGGAAGAATAGCTGAATATATTTTTTGGACACAATTTTCAAGATTTGAAAAATTTTTATCTATCTTCACGATGACTTTGTCTAAAATAGCTTCTCTTCCTGTATATACTGGAGTAAATTATCTATATCCAACTTTTATTGATTCCATAGTACAAATAACTATTGCACACTTTTACTTTAAAAGAATGGCCTATTTGTATATGTAGGTTATTTAATTGATGTAGGCAAGTTGTTTATCTTGTTGTTGACTACTATTGACAAAAAAGTTAGAATTCAAAATTATTGATCAACTTCAACATATATTATTAATGCTGGAGTGTGCATGCAGATCTATTTAATTATATATATGTATGTATATACTTAATGTCAAACTATACACAAATTATTTATTGTATTCGTTACTATTTAATGACCTTGTAAGGTTGACCTTGGCATGTTACTTGTCAGCCTTGCCTTTGGCACGTAACATATATAAATGAATATGGAACAGAATATAAATAACAAAAAAGTTAGTTTATTGTAGTTTTAAAATTGTAATATAAAAATGAAATATTACTTTTATTATAAAATTATTGAAAAGGTAAAATTTTAGAAAAAAAATTTTAAAAAAAATTTTCCATAAATTCCCAATTGCTGGTTTTTCCTGGATGTACTTAAGCTAGTAACTAATTAAACTGTAGCTTTGTTCTTCATTTCTTTTGATTTGTTAGTCATGTCACTGGTAGATGGAAAATGTTATCGATAAGTTTTATTTATGAGTTTTGCTGATTTTAATACGTATGTTTGAGAATACTTATGGTAATTTAAAATTGTAATATGATATTTTATCCATGCCTGTTTGTGGTGGGTCTGCAGTTATATATGTGAGAATTACTGTAGAAGGCAACATATGTCTTCCTGAAACTTTGAGATTCTGTAGCATTGTTTATTGTAATTTTGGTTGTTTCAGGTAAGGGAGAGAAGTAGTATCAGTCTGTCTCAAGTTCAGAGATCTTCAACATTTTAATATGTCTTTCTGCCTTTTTGGGAGTTGTAATCTGATATCATGTTCTTGCATTCTCACTAGAAAACTGATTTGTTTATAGAATGGAGCTAATGGTTGTTCCTATAACCATTAGCTCCATTTTCAAAAACATTTGTAAATATTAAGGTTTTCTTTGGGTTTTAAAGTAATTTTGTGGCCACATCTAACAGTTGTGTTTAACTTACCTTAATATTGTTTTTAACAATCAGTTTAATAGAAGAAAGAGGATGATAGCTTTTTCTAGTGCTATTTTAGTGTAGTGCCAAAACATTATGGTTTGATATGAAGTTTTGTTAATTGTGGTAATTATTTTACTGTAATCTAAAAACAAAAAATTTTGAATATTTTGGTTAGAGTGACAGACACCCTTTTTTTATGGACATGTCTAGTATCTGAGAATAATTTTCAAAATATCATGAACACCATACATATTAAGAATTTCTAAGTGTTTTAAACATAAACATTTAGATTAGAATTTACATTAAATGCACAGTGTAGATTTGCAGTATAAATTATACCAGTATTTGCTAACAAGTTATATTTTTCTCAGTAAATAAAACTTATGTCCTATATTTTCTCCTAATGCCCTACATTTTAGAGTATAATGTCTTTTTTTTATTCATGACCATTTGACCATTCTAATTTTGGTATTATGTATTTGATTTTATATATTCCAGCTAGATGCCCTTCAATGGCCATATTATCTTCTACAAATCCAAAAATAGTATTAAAATTCACTTAGTTTTAGTTTTTTAAAATTTTTTGATGAAATCTAATATTAATGGAAAATAGAGATTAAAATTTTGTTTGTATAGAAATGTATCTTGTTACATGAAATAAAGGAAAATTTCATTTCTTTTTTTTATGCAGAATAAATTTCTAATGACATTTAAAACACCACTTGATAAAAATTTGTTGTTATAATTGATTTTATATTACTTTCTGGCTTTCTTAATGATAAAAACTAACCAAGTAAATCTTTTCAACCAAAAAGTGTATTATTCTAGATACAGTTTTGAGAAACCTATTTAAAAATATTCTGAATTTTGACAAAATTAAATTATTATAAAAGATTAATATACAGTAAAAGTGAAGAATTTTTTCAATGTGTCATGTCAGTATTGTATGTTTTAAATTTGAATGACAGGATACCTGCATTTAGGTAAATATATACTGTGATGGTTTGAGATAATTACCAATGTCATGTTTTCAAAATAAAATATTGTATATTATTATTTAATGCCATGCTTTCTTTCCTTAGACTCTCTGCACACTAGAAGCCAATGTCATGTGGATCAGCACAGGTGTATGAATAATCATTTTGAATAGCACTATTAACAGTATATTAAATGTAGGGCGTGTTGACAATAATGGTAGCCTTCTCGAAGTGTACTTCGATTTCAGGGTCCGATGCATATGTGGCTAGGGCTGTGGTCAGCCTCCCATGCTGGATATCTGCTTGGTGTTCACGTAGGTGGGTGTTTAAGGAGCGTTTGGTTGAGCCGATGTATAGTAGTTCCACGTTTTGTCTATTGTCACGGAGTGGGATAGAGTAGATTCCGGGGAGTCTGGTGCAATCAGGAGGGACCCTCCTGATCGCACCAGACTATACATCGGCTCAACCAAACACTCCTTAAACACCTGCCTATGTGAACACCAAGCAGATATCTGGCACGGGAGGCTGACCACAGCCCTAGCCACATATGCATCGGACCCCGAAATCGAAATATTAAATGTACTATTGCTTATGACTTTCATTCTTTCTTAATATACCTCTATAACTTGACAATGATTAATAATTTTAAAATAATTATTTGCAAAGAAAATATTTATTATTAAATAATGCAAATTTTTTCTGTACAAAATTTATGAATTTTTTTTATATTTAATGTTTTTAGTGTCCTTTATTGCCTAAATCTATATATTTATATATTCTCTGTATTTATAAACCTATCTTTTAATGTTAATATTTTGAATAGATTTTGTGTTGATATCTATGTGTGGATAGTTCCATATTATTTTAATGTCAAAGTAACATCTTTTGAGCAGTGAAGTATGGGAAATCCTCAGTTAATGTGTTTTTGTTTCACTGTAATTTATTAATAATGGACAATTTTTGTACTAAGTGTCACATTTTCCATGTAACATGATTTCATAAAAGGTCATCACTAATAGCTGCTGACAGTTTGTTAGATAGTTTACTTAATGTATTTTTACTTAACAAGCTAACTTCAAAGAATATATCTACTACATTAAGTTTTTAATTCAGTTAATCTATATATATATAAAATTACATATCCTGACTGATTCATCATCACTCAGAGCAAACCACTGAACCTGAAGAGGTGAAATTTGGTACACAGTTAGGGTACATCATGAAAATGCACATTAAGAAGGGATTTTTGGAAATTCCCCCATGGGAGGAGAGGGAAATGATTAAGGCTTAACCTAGAGATGGCTTCTGTACTATTTTAGATGCGATTTTTTGTTTTTGATAGTAATACTTAATTTCCAAACATACAATATTTACCAAATCATCCAAATCGTTTGCCTGAGCAATGCCAGGTTCATTTGCTAGTTAAACATATATTGTAAAATGATGTCAATATATATATAAAAATCCTCTTAAAACTGATATATTTTAGTTTGAAATATTAAAAATTTTGTAATTTAAGTTATATCATCTTTTTTTATAATTATAAGATTTTAATTAATATCTTACATATTTAGAAATATTTTGTTAGCAGGTTTAATACATAAGGTCTAAAAATTTTATGAGGCCAAAATGAAATTATTAAAGCCAGAATATTTTGAAATGATTAGAGTATTCTAGAACAGTGCTTCTGAAAGTTATGGATCTGCAGACCACTTAAATAAATTGCAGATGAACTGCAGACCACCTATGCCCTCATCCATTTCTTATCTTGTAAATATCACTTTGTATAATAATATATTGTGTGTCAAAATAGTTTATGTATCCAGTAAACTAATGTAAGAGAGATTGATATATGAAAATGTTCTTTTCTCCAGGCTAAACATCAAAGAACTGCATTGGAGTTGATTCATTCAACAGAATTTACTACATTTAAACATTTATTAGATGGCATGAAAGTTAGTACAACATGTTACACAGGATATTTGCATTTTGTAGAGAGAGAAAGATTACAAATTTTTGGTGCCTCACAAATCAGAACTAGAATCCCCATTGTGGATCTTTGGAATGTAGTCCTTCTGTTAGCAGTTTGGAAGAGAAGCAGCAAGTAAAGGGATGTTGAGGAATCTGAGGGCACAGAAGAGCACTAATCCAAAAGAGGCACACAAGCACAGCAATCAGAACAGTTGAAAGAATGGGCAATGACTGACTGGAATCAGCCATTCCTTGTCAGTCAAAGTAACAAATACCTTAGAGGTGTGGGAAAGGTGTCACTACCAATTCTGAGAAAGCATAAGTTGATACTCTCTCAGGTCAAAAAGTTAACATATATTAGAGCTTCTGATGAGGTCATCCTTTAGTTGTTTTCCTTTTATTTGTTCAATTCTCACACATATATCATAAATTATTTTACAGGCTTAATTTGTTAGCTAACTTGAAACTAATTTGAAATTTTATTGAAATATTAAAATAAAAATATTTTAAAATAACTATTTACTGTGACTTAAAATTTCCATAATTAAATATATTATTTAATTTTCAGAATATAGAAAAATTAGCAAAACTTAATATTGGAAGAACTTCACCCATTAGAAGCGTAGCCAAAGAAAATACCTTTGGATTGAATAAACAGATGGTAATTATTGTGCAAAATTATATCTGCAGACTTTTTAAAGATTAAATTAACTAGCAATACACAAAAAAATTTGTATAAAAGTATGTAAACATGCATCAAATTTTTGTTCTTGCACAGTACATTAGATTATTGGATCAGTGATATAAGAAAAATATGAATAACCTTTTTATATATACTGTAAATAGAAAATTATTATTGAGAAATCCTGAAAGAATTATCTAATATAAAAAATTGAAATTAAAATTTTAAGTGTAAATAGAAAATTATTATTTACACTTAAAATTTTAATTTCAATTTTTTATATTAGATAATTCTTTCAGGATTTCTCATTCACTATGGTTATCTGAAACCAAACAGTTTATATACTATTATAATATAATCTCTTTTGATCCTCTTCTTTCAACTTTCTTTATCTCTCCATCCAAAATTCCTTTTTATTTTCATGGCTTTTTAACTTCTTATATCCAACTTCTAGATCTATCTTTTTTGTGACTTTTCTCTGGTATCCATTAAATTTTGTTAGTGGTAAGTTTTTATATGCCATTCTTTTTACATTTCAAAACTATTCTCTCCTCTATTGTAACTATAATATTTCTATCTTAACCATTCTTCTTATCATATTCCTTTCAATTCTACCCATTTTAATTTTCTACAGATCATCTTTAAGGCCAATAATTTCTGCTTTTGATTGTATTGCATGGATCTGAAATTTGAGTAAAAATTAACAATGCTCTATAAATTAGTTATTTATTTTTTAATATTATATTTTTACTCTTTATATTTNTTACACCATTCCTGCTACGAGTTTGACCCTCAACATATCCAGATTAGACCACCTACAAATCGGATCTGACTTGGGACAAAGCCAAATTTCTTATAGTAATAGATACATTTCTTAGCCAAATTAACTTGTTGTTGGCAATTTTTGATTTATTTATTTTTTAATATTATATTTTTACTCTTTATATTTCAAAATGAAATTTGTTAATCTTGAGAACATGAAATAATAATGCATTAATTAGAAATAGAAATTAAATTATAGATTTGTAGTTACATCACATTTGTTCATTACATTCACAAACTTGCATTCAGTTTTGTCTTCAATATTTTGATGTTTGACAGTTGAAGTTTTATAATGGAACATCATTCTATTGAAGAGCTTTACAGAATTAAAGAACATTTAGATTTTGTAATTCCCTTCCAAAATATTCATAGTTTCCTTAACTGAGTTTATCAAATTAACTCTTTAAATTAATACCTATCAGATACCATAAAAAAATTACATTATTTGAAATATGGGGTCAGTCTGACTCCATGCAAATAAATAGCAATGATTGTTTATATCCTCACAAATCTGTATTTATATTGTTTATTTTTAACATTTTATCACTTACAAATATTTATAATTATAAAATATTTGTTAATTGATTATTGTTAAAATTTTAGAATTAGTTAAAAATTTTAACTCTTTTTTTTTTTTATTTAAACTATTGAAATAAATATATAATAATTTCTCTATGAATTATTTTTACAATTCTTTCTGATGATTTTACTGCAATTACTACAAATGTCTTGCTGTCTTTATTTCTGAGACATAGGTGACAGTTTGATTTCTTAGTCCATTTTTCTGGTTGCACTGTACCTGCTGGAGCTTGATTATCTATTTTAATTCCATAGTGAGATATTCTTGAACAATGTGTATCTGACAATACTTGATAATAAATGAATCCATTCATGAAGTGAAGGATTATACAATAGTGAGATACTAATCAGTTTTACCAGAATAAAAACACAATCAGCCCCACATTGCAAGAGTTAATGAGTCATACAAGTAATTAATACCTATTTCTAGTTTTATTCTAACAAACAATATAAAATCCAATTTATATGAGAGAAGATAGTTGTAACAAAGTTCAACTTCTACACCAGACTGGATTGATATAAACAGTAATTACATGCCATAAAATCTTAAATCATGTATATGCCTTGCACTAAGGTATATAATTTTATATATAATTATGTTTAGAATGTTTTCTCTTCTTTTTGTAATGTGTCATTGTTATTTATTACCCACACCCAACACTGATGTAATATTACTACTACTTGATAGCTGTTACTTATCAGTGTTATTCAATTGTACACTATTTCTCTTGTACTTTAAAGGATAATTTTTAAATTGTAATTACATTGTAGTAATTTTGTATATATTTATGTTTTGAATTTTTTTTCTTTTCTCTTCTTTTTCATAATACATCATTGTTCTTTATTGCATTCCAATTTTGGAATGTTAAAAAGACCTGAAGATGATCTTAGTAGTAGATTGAAAAGATTTGTCTGAAAATTAAGTATATTAAAGTTCTTTACTGATGATTTAAGGTTTTTTTATGGTGTGTAATTTTTATTTAAAAGGTAACTGTAATAATCTTAAACAATATTTGTTTCAAAATTGAATTTTATACAAAAAATTGTTGAAATATTAAATTTCTGAAATAAAAATTAAAAAATATTATTATATTAAAATCCAGCAAAGATTTTTATGACAAACAAAGCAAATAGCTATAGTATTTAATTTGATAGCTCAGCACACTAAATGTATACAAAATATCAAATTGAGCAGTCTTTTGATATTAAAATCAAGATGTGAATCATTTAAAATATTAATTTCAATGAATAGTTCAAGTATTTTTATTATAAAGTAATTTCTTAGAAACAAGTTATGGATAAAATAGTTAAATGTAAGTGAAATGATAAAAAAATAAATAAAAAATAATATCAGTTTACAAAGAATTGATTTGTTTTTTATTTTTATATACTTATATCTTAACCTAAATTAAGAAGTCTGCATTAATGCAAAGGAAAGTACATGAAATAATTAAATCTGCTTTCACAACTTTGTATGTTTTAACACCCAATTTAAAAGTTTTACATTCTTTATTTAATATTTGCTTTATAAATTACTGTATATACCTTATTTTTTAAAAAAATGTAAATGATTTTATATTGTGTTTTAAAATTATTATATCAATATTAAAACCATTCTTTTTTTTAATTTAAAATGATATTTATTCTGGCAAAATTATTACAGAATAATGAAGGCATCTGAATTATTCCATACCTTAATTTTAACAACCAATTGATTAGTGAAATTTGGCTTTATTAGAGAGCTGAATTAAAATCTAATGAGTCTCAAGTACCTTTGAACCTCCTGGCTTATCAGAAGTATTTACTTAATGCAGAATAATCAGATATAAATCAGAACGCAGTCTAAAATTTAAATTCTCTTCCTTCCTGTGACCACCAAGAAAATCCTTATTCATTGTAATGTACTGCACAACACAAAAAGCACAATTACACAAAATTAGGGTTCTATTCAAGTACCAGGACCAGACTTAATTGGAAAGCAAAATAAGCAATCCAAAATAACACTTATATAAGCAAAAATTCACAATAATATTTATTAGGTTAAACAGTAATATATATATATATATATAAATAAACAACAATGATTATAAAGAAGACATTAATAATAAATATATATTTCAAATATTTAAAACAAGTAAGACCAATTATGTACAATTATTACAAAAAAACAAGCAATCAATAAAAGAAATTATTTTTTCCCAGCTCGGGACATACAATTAATTAAATCTTTACCAATATCAAAATAAAAGCAAAGAATACACCTCTTATGAGTTAATCACTTTATCAAAAGGATGCCAGACAATTCAATTCAATAAAGGTCACTTTTGGGAGCTACACCACACTGTTGAACAGGTGTGTCATCTTTTTTCTGCTTACAAGTATAATTCCGCACTACCCTATTTACATATTTAAACATTACAGGATCAGTCACTTGTGTAAATAAATATTCATTGGTCTTAATTTTCAATTTAGTATATTTTGGGGATTTCTTAGGATTTTCCATCCTTAAAACATAAAAAAGTCCCTGAAAAGAAACTAACAATTAAAAATAATGCCCAAAATATAAAATAACGATTGGACTTTGACTCCTTACACCATTCCTGCTACGAGTTTGACCCTCAACATATCCAGATTAGACCACCTACAAATCGGATCTGACTTGGGACAAAGCCAAATTTCTTATAGTAATAGATACATTTCTTAGCCAAATTAACTTGTTGTTGGCAATTTTTGATTTATTTATTTTTTATCTGCTTATTGATGCTTATGATCAATAAATTCTTATGTAATATAATAAATATAATATAATCAATAAATTTTTATATAATATAAATGAAATTCTAAATTGTTCTGGTGATTTAATATTAAAGAAATATTTATTCATTACACATTTATAATTATTTTATTAATTTAAGCATTGTTAATTTTTCAGTTGTCAAGTCATTCTGTAAATAACAAAAATAAAAACATCAGAAGTAATGGTACTGCTAGCGTAAAATCTTCGACAGCTCCTCCACCCAATACGGTGAATTGTTCTCTATGTGGCCGTCATTTTGCAAAGGACAGGATAGAAAAACATGAAGTCATCTGTCAAAAAATTAATCAAAAGAAAAGAAAAGTATTTGATGCTTGTAAAATGAGAGTAAAAGGTACAGAAGCAGAAAGTTTTGTAAGAAAAGGAATATCAGTAAAAGAAGAACCAGTGGTAAGATATAAAATTTTTAGTTGGAATTAAAGTTACTACAAAGTATACAAAACAGTTAAATTTAATATCATATAAAGGTTAGGAATTTTCACATTGTTACACTGTATGTAAAAATATCTTTTATAATATGAGATAGAGAACAGTTAGCATCCGCACATTGAAGTTAATCATAGTATTTTTTTTTTCTGATATAGAATTTATTAGTTTTAATTAAAAATTTTACTTTATTTAATATGAGAAGTTCTCACTAAATGTGTAAAGAAATGAATCTTTAAAGTATTTCAATTATAATTGAGAATGTAACTGATCAATACCTGCTGAAGATTTTTATTTATTTAAAAACATTTTGATGATTGTGGATCTTTCAAATCAGTTTTATCATTTAGAACACAGATTCTGAATTTATAAAAAAAGATTTAGTTATTTAGGATTAGTTATGCTAAGACAACCCAAGAAAAAAGATATATTTGTAATTACCAAAAAAAAATTATTTGAAATTTTTGGTTTTTAAAACAGTAACCTGCATATTTAAGTGATTTTATTCATCTAAAATAAACTGATCAATGAATTATGCAGTAAAACCTGTGAAAGCTGGAACCTGAGCAAGATGGAAACCTTTCAAAGGTGAAAAGTTCAAATATTTTTCAGTAAAACAATTACATCAATCAACAGATATTCTCTGAAAGTCAGAACTTGTAAAGTGTAGATGGAATGAAAGAAAATTTTGCTGTATGTTCTTTGAAACCTAGCAAAAAACAAGGTGTAAAGCCTTTACACTTTGTTTTAACCAGTTTTTATTGGCTTTAAGGATTTTATGTTTTTATTATCTTTATTGGTCAATTTTTTATATGTTTTAACCAAAATGATATAATTTCTACAGTTTTACTTGTTCTACCCCACGGTTTTAATAATTAGTTATTCCGGTTGTCACTATAATTATTTTTAGTTTTACCAATTTACATAATAAAATAAGGACTGAAGAGGAGCAATGAGCCCAAAATGTATATTTGTTGTAAATCATAGAAAATAAATCTACTTTTTCCATTAAAAGGAGTGTTCCTGTATTTGTTCTCAATAGCAACTTTATGCTAAGTTCCAAAGAACATACAACTAATTGAGAAAACAGAAAGCTATCAAGTACTGAAAATTTTGCTATTGCAACTAGGATTTCTCATTTCCCGGTGTTTTGCTTGTCCTGGGATAGAATTAATTATTTTTAAGATATACAAAATATCTTGAAATCAAATGATATAATTTTCATTTTTTAAAGTAACTTAATACGTTCTGCAACCTCCAAAATCATATTAATAATGCTGTGTAAGATATATATTAAAAATTACCTTTGAATTACGTAGAAATTTTCACAAATAGAAAAAATTTATTAAAGTTTGCTGGAAACTGCATACAACAACAACAGAAATGCTTTGAATTGAGTTGAAAATTAAAAAAAAAATGAACTTAGATCAAACTTCTAACTTAAAAGGTAATTTTTGTTTTTTAAATAAAACATAATACAAAATATTATTGTAAATTTTTATAATAAGATTTTAAAAAGCAAAGATGATCAATACTCTGATTGCTCAATCTGATTCTTATTTTAGTAATGAAAAGTCCTACTACCAAGAATGCCCTTTCCAATTCAATTGATGTGAATGGAATCGTGTTTAATGCATTTAAGAGAAGACAGAGGTTATGTGTTTTTTCACCTGTAGCCTGGAAGATTTCTAGTTTGTTTTCAAGATTGTAGTACTTTTGCTCTCTAGTATTCTTGATTTGTCTACCTTGGCTGCTTTAGTAGAAACATCAAGCTTACAGCACGATAATTCAGCAGTTTGTTTGGCTTTAATAATCAGGTTTATGAAGAAAAACTTCATACTTGTTTGTATCCTTGCCCAATTTACACAACCTGGCATTGTGCAGTTATTGAAGCTACTGGGCAAGGTTAAAAATTAATATAGCGTAAGCACAATTATTCCAGATATTACAGGTTCTGACAACTAAAGAATTTTCAGGGTCTTGCTACAAATAAGCTACATATTGATTATTGATCATTTGTGACATGTTATAATGAGCAAAAATTAAAAAAACTAATAAGTAGGTTTAAAATTAATAAATACAAATGTATTCTGACAGTTTATTATTTAATTATACTTTCTATTTGCAAAATTTCCTAACTTTAAGAGAAAACAAGAAAAAAGTGAACTTTTAAGAAATTTGTGGGATTTCTTGGGACGAGAAGGATTTTCCAGGTTAAAAAAAACAACCAGGATCCCGGGATCCTGTTTGAGAAACCCTAATTGCAACCCAAATACAGGGCACAAAAGCCAGAAACTTGTGTGTTCTGTATTTTTTGCATTACAATAAAATTAATAAGAAAATAAGCTTTAAAGGCTGCTGCAAGTTATAACCAAGTGAGTGCAAAACGAAAGGAAAGAGGAAAACTATACTAACAATAAATAAATAAGATTAACTGAATTTTGTTTGACATTGACAAAGGGGGAGAAATCACACTTGGATACTAACTACACCCATTCTCTAGTGTGTGTGTCATGTTCCTTCATTATTGAAAGCTTATTTCCTAAAATGTGATTGTCCTAAAAATTCTGAGTGGGAGGTTAAATTTATCTTTTAAAATTAAGATAGATTATCCCATTATACTTCCATTTTTCTGCCCAAAACTCATTGCATTAAGGATTGTTTTATGTGGGGTCCATTGATGTAAGATTATTTTATTGAAAACTGAATTATTTCCACTTACTGTATTTACATGTAAAATACAAGGTGTGCAAGACATCTCTAACAATGATAAACATGCATAAATCATAAAAAAACTATTTTTTCATCCAGTCCCGTAGAAGTGTAAAGAAACTTTTTTGGGACATTTATATATTTATATAGGCAATAGAAAGCAGTAGAAAAGTGGTAAGACTATATCCTGTGAATTGTGGAAAACCTGCAAGACACAGCAAAACAAAATAGTCTTGTCAAGTTCCTGCTTTTAACTTTAACTAGCATGCATAATTTTATATAACAAGTGCTTTTGAAGTTAGATCACATCAGGTCCACTTAGTTGCATAAAACAATATTATATTATTTTAGAGAAATAGAACAAACATCAATTTGAAATATTTGAATATCTTGCAAATATAGTTTGAGATAGACCAGAGAGTAAAAAATTAAAGATTAGCAGAGAAGAGTTCATATATTTTGACTTTAGCAGCAAGAAGAGAGAGAGAGAGTGCAGGATGGCAAAATTTAAGTACTTAGGATTGACATTAGAGAGTAGAGAAGGCTTGGATGCAGATATAACAAACAGAATAGGTATAAAATGGCAGAATGCAATTGGCAAAATAAGAATGAGCATAAAACAGATAGTATGGACATTAGAGAGAAGTTTATGTAAAATAGATTTAGGTACCTTAGGCATGTGATTAGAAGAGGAGAGGATGAATTGGCTAGATGAATTAGGGACTTAGGAACTAAGAGAAGTAGATATAAGCCAAAGAAAGGTTGGGAATTGTTTCCTAACTAGCAGTTAGGAAATGTTTCCTAACTGCTAGTTAGGAAACATTTAAAGGAGTTACAGTTAAATGAGAGTCCAAATAATATAGTTTGGAGAGCCAGCACATCAACACCTGACTCCTTTGTTACATAGAAAAAGGATGGATGATGATGATGATTACAAATATAATAAATTTCAAATAAATAAATATGTTTTTTTTATCTTTTGTGTCAGTAATAAATAAATAACAATTTTAGAAATTCCATATGGTGAGGATATTAGAGAAGATAGAAATTCAAAAAGAAAAAAAAACCTGTGGAAAAAGCACCTCATTATGTGGATTTTTTAATTACTTAATTAATTTCTTATTACACGTGTGGTTTTATTTATTTGACATTCATTACATTTACAAACAATTCAAATATTTCAAATTGTTTATTTCTATTTCTTGGGAATTCAACTGCTGAATAGTGAATTACTGTTTATGCTTTTTGTGAAATATTAAAAATGTTTCAATTAAAACAATAAAACCCAAAAAAGAAAGATAAAATAAGTATTTTTATTGATTTCAAATCATAACAACCTCTTTAACTGGAACTATAAAACTTATTGGCTTAGAGCAGGGGTGGCCAACCTTTTTAGCAGGTGGGCCAAATTTCAGAAATAATATTTCCTGCCGGGCCACGCACCAAATTTTTTTTTTTTGTTAATTGAAGTAAACAAGCAAGCGTGCTACAGCTTCAACCACATCGTTGCTTTCCAGTAGGTGAGATCGTTGTCAAACACTTGCCTGGTTTAATGTAAAAAAACACAAAAAATAGGTATATTTTTTTGAAGAAAATAAAACATAACCGAGAAACATATTTATTAGACAATTTAAAAATATTTAAAAGTGAGACATCTGACTTTGTTTTACAGAACTAAGTGCATCAAAATTCATCTCTACTGATGTTGTCGCTACACGCAAACAGTTTTCCAAATGAACAGCAGTAATTCGTGTTCTCACTTGTGATTTGATGAACTTCATGCGACTAAAAAGTTGTTCATACGCATAAGTGTTTCCAAATACCGAAACCATCGACAGAGCATGTTTGTAAAACGCAGGATATTTATCCTTGTCCAAATACGTTTCATAGAACTCTTCCAAACCTTCTGAACTCTTCTAATGTTCATTTGGTGATATGTACAAAAAAGTTAATATTTATGTTCATGCGGGCCGCAACACGACTCCCCGAGGGCCGCATGCGGCCCGCGGGCCTCATGTTGGCCACCCCTGGCTTAGAGTTTAAAAAAAAATCACCAACATCTTTGCAATTGATCTTTAGGAAGGTTCATTATAAATAGAAAAACTGGTCTATCTAAATTAAAACATAAAATTATATTGTATATTTTATGCTGTATATTACAGCACAACTTCTCATTATTTTTGCTACTCCTAATTATGGATTTATAATTAGAAGTAGCAGAATGTAGCTACAAAATAATATTTATTTCATTTTTTGTTTTATTTTTACATTGAGTAATGTTTGCCATTGTTGTTCTACATTAAAAGTGTAGATTATGAGCTACATACGGCTCTTGAATGTTACACATGCAGTTTGTGCAACATATCTGACCGTTATGATTGGATAGTGTTATTAAGTAAAGACAGTAGTGTGCACTGGAGTTCAGTTGTTTACTAATATTTTGTCAAGAAAAATAGTAATTTTCAAATATTCCACTTTTATAAGCCATTTGAAAACTTGTTATATATAGCCTAAAATAATCATAAAATATAATGTTTGTGGGGACTACAGATGGTTTTTTTGTACTTTGGTTTGTGACATTCCTGCTCTACTATTGACTATAATATACCATTCCAAAAATGATATTTTTAATGTTTTCCTTTCTAACATCTGGCGGTAAATAAACTTAATCCAACAAGCAACAAACAAAATTGTAGATAAATTTAAAACAAACAAAAGGTTAATGATACCATAACAATGCTACATTATTGCCTTGCCAGCTTTTATAAGTATTAAATCCTGAAGTGCAGCTGTGGAAGAATGTCTAGTTGACTACCCCACCTTTCAGCTCATTCCATTCTTTTATTACAGGCATTTACAAAGAGCAATCATTTAAGCTTAGAAAAAAATAAAATCTATACACAACTGTTATGTTAATATTAATATAATACTGTAATTGGATTTATACAGAATAAAAACATGTAATAAAACATGTAATACAATAAAAAAAACAAAATAAATAATACTTCAGACATTTATTTAATAAAAATTATTTCATAATTTTGCATGTTGATTTTAAAATTTTTTTCTTGGAATCCAGGTTATTTATCCTATCAACTAATAGTATCCTTGTGTTCTGGAAAGTTGCTTAGAATATTGTACATGTTACTAAAAATATATATAATTTTACTGTCTGGATATGAATATTTTTTAGCAAATAGTGGCCAGATCAATTATCAGTTACAATTGAAATGCTTTGTTTCTTTCTAATATGAGATATTTTAAAGTTTCCATTTATATAAAACTAGAATATGCTAAAATAATTGCTTTTATGTGATAATAGTGTTTAAATTTTGGCAACATATTGTATAAACTATACGGGAAGTATATTCTCCTAAATATTGCATTTATAGAAAAATTATTGGGCTGCAATTTTAAAAAATTGTACACTACAAATTAGGACTGTCCTCTGCCTGACTGTCTGTTTGGCTGCCCTTCCTAATCTCGAGAATGGAGTTGGATAGATGAAAGTGGGACCAGATGTGAAAAGCTTGGGGACAGGAGGCCCAGATTAACTATATACAAATTTCCGGTTTGGAACAGAAATCATGTTACTGATTCAAAATTTTTCCCCGAACAGGGTTAGTTAGATGACTGTCATGACTCTATTTCTAACAGAAAAAGTATGATGTGCAGGAGCAAAACACTATTACAATCCACACAGGCAAGCAATGTGTGCTACCTATTGCAGTAATGGAGTAATGACACATCCATTTTGCACTATATCATTGTTGCAGTAATTAATTGAATATAATATGTAGTTTTAAAAATTATATCCCTTTTTGTAAGAATTATGTTTAGTTAATTAATTCGCTAGTTAGTTTTTTCAATAGATAGTGCTACATATAAACCCAGCAATCGAACGTAGATAGAAATTAATCAGTATATAGAAATCCAATCAATAACTTGGGTGGGATGTACGACACAATCTATGTTAGAAGTATTTGAACATAACCGTCAAGTTTTGTAACAATTTGTTGAATAGTCTAGCAGTGTATAGTGAACAAACAAACATGCTCATTTATACATATAGATGAACACTTAGTTAATAAAGACACTTTTTGTATTTTGCAATAAAAATTATTATTTTTACATTTGTTGAGTTAGATAAATTAACAATTTCCATCCGAGACTCATCATGCCTGGCCAAAGGACTGGCCATGTGGAGTTTTCCAGGTTTTCTTCATGTTAGTTATACCTAGATAGGGGGTCAGTTTCCCAAAAGACTTCCCAGGAAACATACCTCTCGACAGATTGTCCATAAGTTGCATTGCCATATATGAATAAAACCAAAATAAGACTTGTCTTTTAAAATTGAGTCAAGAACTCATCTTGCTTAAGTAACTCTACATTATTGTATAAAACTGTAATTTTGCATCTGTGAAAGTCAAACATTAGCATAAATAATAGAATTATATTAACCATTTTATTTTTACAATTATTTTAAATAAAAATTAAATAATTCAAATGACTTAATTCTTATGTAGAAAAAGAAGAGTAATTGGCGAACTAAGCATGAATCTTTCCTGGAAAGCATTCGAGAAGCCAAGAGAGTCCAAAAGCATCTGGCAGCAGGAGGCAAGATTTCTGACCTGCCTCCTCCGAAGCCTTCCGAAAATCCAGACTATGTGCAGTGTCCCTATTGCAATCGAAAATTCAATGAGGCTGCTGCAGACAGACACATTCCCAAATGCAAGAACATTGTTTCCAACAAACCCAAGAGAAAATAAATTTCTTAATCTTGGATTTGTCATATTGTCTTTCAAGAGGTATGGCATCTGCAATACCCTTCCCTTTTATGTAAGAAGTTCCGAGCCTCGTCAGAATACTAGAAAATAGTTGTAAACTATGGAAACTAGGCTCAATCTTTCTACTGTCATTTGAAAAAAAATTATATATTTGTACGGTAATAAAAATTTTTGCTCGTCACGTGCCTTAACTAATGCTGGAAAAATGTGCTTAATAGGTAAAATAATCCTAATATCTGCAATAACTGTTATAGAGGATTTTACTTTTTACACATTAATTTTGTTTTTTTTATAAGTTTTTTAGATTAAGTTTTTATTATATTTAATAATGCAAGAAATGATTCTTGTACATTTTTATACTTATTTAATAAAAATATATATATCTATTTTTATACATGCAAGTAATTATTAAAATAAATTTTTCAGAATTTTAATCCATTCAAGAAATATGTGGTTAAATAAACTTTGCATTTTTATAATGATTATCATCTTCTTGTGAATTATTTTATATAAACATTCTCATTTCAAATTGAGAAACTGAGTTTGAAAGGTTAAGAGAACTGTAAAGTGGAATGCCACAGTGGGTTTTTTTCATAACATGGCGTATTCCTTCAGCAGCATCTTGTAAACTTTCTGGCAGGACTTGTAACCAAATTTACACTTGACCATCAGCATGCTTTTTTAATGTTTCAACTCTGAGCTATGTTTTCTTGGTTGTCCACTGTAGAAATATGCTTTCACTTGCAGCATTGGTTTGTGGGAGGCGGGACAATCTTTAAAACTTCTTTATATAGCACAATTTGCTGTGAAATGTTTAAATATTTCTACCTATCAATCTATGATGGTTGACTTCTTGGCCTTCCACTCACAAGTCTTTTCTGTGGAAGCAAACTTGGAAACATGAGTAATCTCTTCAAATAACTCATTGTCATTGACAGCCAGATGTGGAAATTTAAATATGACTTGGGGTAGGCTTGTTTCGATGTTTTCCCAAGTCAGTGTTTCTTTCAAAGCAACACAGCTGAAGTTACTTATATGTTTAAATTGCTCTCCTCTTTCTTGAAGATATTCAACACAGTTGTCATAGAACTTAATATTATTGCCATCATCATATTACAGTAAAACCCTTTGTTAAAACATTTTTGAAGGAAAAGGCTTGGGAAAATGTCTTAATAATATATTGATAGATGAAGTACTCAGGTTGGCTCTAGAATATATATTAAGTAAAGATAATGTAATCATTTAAAAATACACATGCACGTAAAAACATATACCCATAAGCATTGTATGTTGATTTACAGATTTGACCAAAAAATTTTACATCAAAAGAAATTCTAGGAATTCGCTGGATCACCAGTGGCCAAGTGGATAACATCATGGAACATTTGTAACTGGTCATGGGTTTGCATTTCATCAACAGGCTGGCCATGCAGAGTTTTCTGAGTTCTCTTCATGTTTATTACACCTAAATAGGGGCCAATTTTCCATATAAGGTCCTCCTTAAGTGATAAAATCGAATATTTTGGAAATTGATAGTAATCAATATCCTTCCCAGAACTATCACGAATATACGTACAAAATTTTGTAGAAATTGGTTCGGCCATTCTCATGTGATACTTGAACAGACAATTCACAGACATTCATATAGAACAGGTTCTTAACCAGGGGTCCGTGTGCTTAAATTGGAAAAATTAGTTCATTACCTTTGTTCTCCCTAAACTTCTACTGAAATCTAACATTTCCTTAACTTATGAATGTGTGCAATAAATGATGGTAGTATTAGCTGTATATGTTATCACCAATAGAAACAACAGCTATTTTTATATCATACAGTTGTTGCATTTCTCCAAAATTGGCATGAAAATCGAACCATGAATCTGTAATCCTTTTCTTTCTGATATTAACTGTATGGCAGATGCTGACTTAACCAAAGATGAACTTATTGATCTTAAGGCAAAGAGACTTACTACAGTTGGTGTTTAACTCAAAAAGCCCTGAAGAATTCTGGTGTTCCCTAAGAAAAGCTTAAGTCATCTTGTAAAATGAGCTATGGAAGCATTGCTTCCATTTAAAAAATATATCTTTGAGAATCGGGATTTTCAACACTTATAACAACTGAAAATAAAAACCATAATGATTCTTTCTTCACACATTAAATAATAATAATAATAAGCCAGAAACTATATAACACATCACTTCTGGTTGCAATCTCTTTGCACAGATTGATTATTTACACATAATCAAGTAACAAATATAATACACCAAGAGCTTGCAAACAAACACAAATTATTAGACATCCACAAACCATACTACAAATACATTCCATAGATAGTACTGGAAGACAACACGCACAAAATGTACTACAACAGAGCCATAATCATGGATAAAACAATTTATCACAACAGACCATACATCATACTCATTGACAAACAATAAAATCACATACATTATAGACATATCCATTCCAAACACTCACAATATATAAAACACATTCACTGAAAAAATTAGCAAGTACACAGAACTCACCCAGGAAATAAGGCATCTGTGGAGGATGGATAGGGTGCTTATTGTACCTGTTGCTCTCTCCTTTACAGTTGTGATACAAACACACACTACACAAAAGCCTGGGAACATTACAATTGAATAGAAACACATACATCACATTACAGAAGACCACTATATTGAATATGTGCCATATTGTTAGGAAATTCTTGAATACAGACACAGACACACTTATTTAATTTTAGTTTTGTTTTGGTTGCTATGCCTTGACTCTGGTCTGGCATAGTACACAACCACCGGTGTCAACCAAGTATAACTCACTAAACCCAACATAATAATAATATAATATATTTTAACTAAAGTTTAACTATAAATTATAAAGCTGAAGTTAAATCATAACTTTAGCTTCCATAGAACGAAAAAGATTAAGAACCCATGAGATAGAAGAAACATTCTACATATTTCATTTTTTCAAAAAGAACAAAAGGTTAAAGAGGCTTGCTCTGGATGGTGTTTATATAACTATGTGAATTTTTATGGTCGGTTCTTCACCATAGTTACAAAAATTGCCGATCATTGAGTTACATCACTGGCGTTACCGGCAAATTTTCAGTAATGATAATTAAATCACTGGTAAATTTTGTACATAATTATAGTCCACATGGGAAAGAGTAGACATGAATCACCTTGAGCTGAAGGATCCGATCTCTCAGCTGTTTTGTTTTTTTACAGATTTTATTACTGTGAACCATGTGTCTCCTTCCATTTCTTTCATCTGACTTAGACCCTTCTGGATCAAGCTATTCATGTCTACTCTTTCACTGCATGAAGTATAGCATGGTTGAATATACTCAATTGAGGATAGTTAGCACACGTATCAAATTGTATGAAAAACACGTTATATTCTTCAGATTAAGTAGCTTCAAAGTTTTAGATGTAAAGCTCTAAAAGTATGAAATTTTTTATAGCAAAGCATATTTCAGAAGTAAATTCAATATACTGTAATCAAAACTCTTTCCATTTTATGATAGGAAGCTGTCCATAAATGATGTCAACTCTGGAAGGAGGGACCTCCTTCTAGACTCTAGAATTACCAAAATTATCTTACCAGATAGAATTAGATTATATAATTACCAAAATGACATTCACTCTAGAATCTAGAGTGAATGCTAATTTGATAAGTTGGACAAGGGAGGGGAGGGAGCTTCAGTGGCTATTTATCATTAAATTTTATTATATTTATTTCAAAATTTCTTGTGTTTTTTTTAAGGAGAGTTTGTATATTTTTTTTTTTTTCAAAATATCTCTCTTGAGCTGGTTGTGAGGGTAGGGCAGGTTTTCATTTTTATACATTAGCAAATCAGCAATACATTGTAATGACAAGTTTTTTTTATCTTTTAAATTCAAAACCTACACTATTAATAGGCCAAAAATAAATATACTACTTTTATTTATATTACAATTCTATACGTACAATATCTGTACATTACCTCATTATCATCTAAATGTTATTTATGTATACAAATGTAAATTAAATTTTATTAAAAATTTAAACAAAGCCAAGGAAAATGGACATATGAAAGGGGTAACCTATGCAAAATGCCCTGCTCTACTTCCTAAGTTACATTTCTATAAAGAAAACATGATTGAGCATTATGGAAAATACTTATAAATTACTAGAAAGGTTGCAATGTTAACAATTTGGATGTAATTCTTTCTACTTATGGTATCTATAATTCATAAAGTGATAAATATTTTAAGAGGGGTTGAGTTTTGTTGGACATCTGAAGAGGGGAGTGCATTACAGAAACTTGGACAAACTGGACAAGAGGGGGGAGTAAAAATTTCTAGGAAAATGAGGACATAATTTATGAACAGCTCCTAGTTTACAGTGAAAAACACAACAGTTTGACTTATACATACTGTATATATACCGTATTTACTTGAATATACAATGACTTCATGTATAGGATGAGGTGTGACTTTAAAGATCAAAATAAAGAAAAATTAGATTTGTTAGTACAATTCTAATTTTATTTTGTTTAATCACAAGTAAAATATCAAATGATCATAAATGCACACATTGTCCTGCAAAAATTACTAGCATTTTAAAAACTTTAAGGAAAAATCTTGAAAAATTGACAACATAATTTGTTCAAGTAAAGCTGGACAATAGGGAACATTTTTTTTGCCAATTCTTAACAGTTGAATTCACTCTCCGTCAATTACACTTCTGGGTTTCTCCAAATTCTGATTTCCGAATAATCATGTTTTCACGTGGGAATGGATTAAAACTTAAATTGTGCTCCTGTGTGATTTTGGAATTTCAATCTGAAATTCAATTCAAAAGCTTTGCTTTTCCTATTGCTATTCATCTTTACTTCTGACAATATACAAGAACGATTCAAACTTGAAGTTTAGACTATTTACAAACGACTAGATAAAATACTCATGTCTTTAAATATAAGAGAGTAAGCATCCGGTAAAAGTTGCAAATACATGGTTCACAAAAATTATTTGCAAAAACACAATCTTTTGCTCACGTATAGGACGACCTAGGAATTTGAAGCTGTGATAAATGAATAAAAACCTTGTCTTATATGCGAGTAAATATGGTAACTGTTAAAGATAGTAGAATAACTAGGAGGTGCCAGGCTTTCTACTTTTACAAATAAATAAAGAATATAAAAAAATTCAATGTAACAAATTCATTTATACACAGCTATAACAGTTTACTCTTAGGTGTTTATACAATATGTAATACAATGCATAAACATCTAAGAGTAAACTTTTTATCCACAATGTTACTGCCCATATCCTTTGTGGTACAGAGGTGAACATTTGTACATTCGAATTTGGCCTCTCCTAATATCTGTTTTAGTTATGCTACTGATTATAGATTCTTTGATGTGTCCTACAAGTTTGCAATCTCTACACTAATGGTATGCATACCAGAAATGACATATAATAAGAATTTAGCTAGCACACCTTATGGTTTGTTATGAATATCCATAACGTTAATTACTTTAATGTAAGGTACCGAATAGGGCAAAATTTATAACAACAGGAGTGGATGATTGAACACCATTGAATATAGTTATACAGTAGAGCCTCGATTATCCGACCCCCAATTAACCGACACCTCGGTTAACTGACCGTCCTAGTCGGCAAATTTCAAATGTCTGCTAGTGATGTGGTGCTACAATATTTGGCTATGTCTTGGCTACTTTAATATTATTTTTACGTGTTTTAGCTGGCAACACTCATTCGACCATGAAAGGGAACCAGTATTTAAACGAGGTTTAATTTTCTAATTTTTAACGATACAATAGCGACGATTATTATTTTAAAAAATTTTTGTTAGGCTTAACATCGATGAAAATTCAACGCGAAGTAGGTTAATAGCGATATACTAATATACTAATTACATGGGATATAATAATATACTACACTAATAATGGATTTTTTCATACTTTTCGGTTATCCGACCAACCCCAGTCCCCAATTGAGTCGGATAATCGAGGCTCTACCGTACCATTGAACAGATTGTGAAGGAATATCATTTTTTAAAAAGAATGAAAGAATTTTACAGAAGAAACTTAGTATTATATGAAACTGATTGCAAAAAACATTTTTAATTAATTCATATTTCTGCTTCAATTTCCATTTCTACCAATTGGAATTCTTGATATAATTGGACACACAATGATTTGGACTGATGTATCACACTTGTAGAAGTTGGAGAAAATCAGATGATGATGGTCTGGAATAGAGTACTTGGATGATACCTTGGAAAAGAGATTCTAAACAGTGTACATATGATCATAGTACCCTCTATGTTTGATGCTGGCATGCAGTTTTTATGCTGCAAGCAGGGCTATGGAGTCGGAGTCGGAGTCGTGGAGTTTTGGTGTTTTAGCCGGAGTTGGAGTCGGATGGTAAGGAAAAGTTGGAGTCAGAGTTGGTAGATTTTTACGCGACTCTACAACCCTGGCAGGGCTGTGGAGTCGGAGTCGGATTGGTAAGGAAGAGCCGGAGTCGGAGTCGGTAGATTTTTACGCGACTCCACAGCCCTGGCTGCAAGGCTGTAGTACTACCCCCAAAGGTCTAAAAGTAAACCTGAGGGTAAAGTAAAAGTAAATTGGGCAATAATGGGTAATGATAAATGAAAGCCTTTTTCTTTGTCAACTCTTTCCAAAATTAGATTTAATTTGCCAATCTATTTCTAAACTAATACAGAATAAGAATAAATTACCTACAGGATGAAATAAATAATCAAATAGGAATTAATATAATTTTATTGAACATAAATCAAAATTCAAAGTTGTATGCATTATTTTAATAAAATTTGACCATTAATAATTTCTCAACCCCTCAAATAAATTGTTCCATTGACTCTGTCCTGTGGGCAGCAAAAGGCCTGTTTTTAATTATGATCATTATGAATTCAGCCAAACCAACAATTGGGTATAATTGGGTGATGAGGAATAGGGCGCATTTCCTATGACAGGCAAATTCAAAACTTCTCAAGGTTGCTCACCTGGATCAAATCCAGGAGAGATCAGTCTATCAGGTCTCCAGACCATTAGGCTAATGCCTTAACTGACTATCCAGTTCTTTGGGTAATGCTAGTGACCAGGTTGGAAACCTGTAAAAATTATGACAATGATAAAATTGTAAACATATATATTTTATCTGATGTCTCATTTACTTCATATGTACAGTACAGTATATAAACACATATACACAACTACACCTCAAACAAAATTTATATTAAAATGTTAATAAAATAACATTATTTTTTGTGATTTAAATATATCATTATGTTTTATTTTCATGTATAATATCTTATTTTTTTTGTTAATTTAGTTATTATATAACTGTAATATTTGAAGGAATATATCTTTTTAAAACTTACATGCAAGAGAAAAAACTTGAAGATAGTTAATCAAAAAGTTTTTGAAAAAAACAACTGGAAACAAAAGTAAATTTGATTATTTGGATAACATTATAAAGAAAAAAATTAAATAATAAAAATTTACCTTTATTTCCAGTTGTTTTTTCAAAAATTTTTTCTTCATATCATTATCCAAATTAATTCCCACTGTCTTCCATCTGTCCGTATTCCCTTAATCTCAAGAATGGAGTTAGACAGACGAAAGATGAGACCAGATATAGAAACCTTAGGAGCAGGAGGCCTCAATTAACTGTATAAGAATTTCCAATGGAAACCAGAAGTCATATTATTTCAATTCAAATTTTTTTTCCCTGAAAGGTGTTAGATGACCAGCACAACTCTATTGTTAAAGGAAAAGTATGATGTATGGGGGCAAGCCACTACTAACTTGAGGTAGAGTATATATTTTAAATTAAATAAATTATAAATATGATTAAAAATTGCAGCCTGGCATTGTGACGATGTTTACTACTATAATATTCTTTTTTAAATAAAATTTTTATGTGAAAACAATTTGTTTCTTTTACTACTACTACTAGTAGTAGTAGTAGTAGTAGTAGTAGTAGTAGTAGTAGTATCTCTTCATATCATATAAATCAATCATACAAACATCATTGATTTCATTACATTATTGTGCAAATTAGCACAAAGCTTATTGTAGCACAGCTCAAGCACAGTGATTTTGACCATTAACTTGAAATCTTTGTTTATTGAAAGAAATTAAAGAGAATCATATTGTGCAATTTTCTAAATGATCACTTTCTAATTCTGAGAGAGAAATTTGATAATTAATCACAGCTGAAATTTTGTTTAATTAGGTAAAATACTATATGTAAAAGAATAAACAAAGAACCTATAAAACATTACAAAATTATTTATTATTATAAAATAGAAAAAATTAATTGTACAAGAGATGAGACAATACTATAAAATAAATTAAAATTTATTAATGTTGATGTCAGAATTTATAGTATAAATTTTAATTATCTTAAAACGAATTTACAAATTCTATTAAAAATATCTTATAAAAAATTTTAATGGATTTAAAGATGTATTCTTTTATCAATAAGTACTAAGATCCTGTATTATATTAGTATAATAATAATGTAAGTACTGTATATATGTGTAAATTTTTCAATACTTTTTCTGAATCTAATCACACAAGGAAAACAATTAACTGTATTAGAAGTATTTTTTGGCAAAAATGGGGACAATAAAATACTTCTAATACAGTCCTCCTAGTGTGATTAGATCCAGAGAAAGTACTGCAAAATTTACACATATATAGTTACATTATTATTATACTAAATATTTTTTGCTTCCAAAGAGGAGCCAAGGAAAGCTGAAAAGCACTAGGAACAAAGTAGGTGATTTGTTAACTGCAATATGAAATTCTCCAATAAAGAGTAAAGTTAAATTTAAAAAGTTCAAGAATAATCTTTTATATAAAACCTAACAATTATAGAGTATATAGGAAAATGTCTTTTATATACAGTATATAGTAAATTTTAACAACCAAATTAAAAATAAATGGCTTGTAATAGAAAGTAGCAATTTCAAAATATTAAGTCCCAAAAGTCAATGGTTCAAATTCATTATCAGTTATCAAATTCCCATCTAATAATTAGATAATTTAGTTTTTGTATTAGTAATAAAATGCTGATTTTCAGTTAAATATATTACAACTATTTTTTTTCATTATTTATCCACTGTAAAAAAAGAAAAAAATTTAATAAAAATTATTCAAGAAACACAAAATTCATAAAATTTGAAAACATTTTCTGCCAAGTTTTGAGTTCAAAGCAATTTTAACTAATATTACATAATAAATATAAAACATGTTTAAACACAACAGCTAATAGTAATGTTCTTAAAATATTTTACAAATGCACCACTTAATAACAGGAATACATTTTGAGAAATATGTTGTTAAGCTAATATTGTAATGTACTGTACTCAGGTAAACCTTATATGACATAGTCTACTACTCATATAGGTTATATGTAACACAATGATAAGTATTTATGTATCTAAACAAATTTAAACATGCAAAAGATAGAAGTGGGCACAAATTTTCAACTCCATTATGTAGTCTGTTGTTAAGTGGAACATCTTTAACCACTCAGAAATGACCAACGGATATATCCATCAAGAGCGACTGTGTGGCAATGGTGACCTACGGCTATACCCACAAAAGAATTTTGCAGATATCTTCAAAAACTACCGCAAAAAAAAATTCACATAAAAAAGGAATTACATAACAATAAAAAAAGACTTTTCTTTACTAGACATAACTGCTTGCAAAATCTTTTTCTGAAACGGTAATGAGAAAAAACGCATGGGAAAATACTTAAAAAATTTCCCACATTTATTCTCCACTACATAGGGATAGCACCATACCTGACTAACCCACTGCAGAAAGGTTAAGTGATACATACCTAATTTTGAAAATATTTCAAGTTCAAATTATTAAAACAAATTCATTTCAAGCAACTAACCTTTCATTCACTTCACTGAAAATATTTTCAATATTTATTTTAAGACATCTTTTTACAAAGATCTTATATTTAAAGTTATAGAGTATAAACATAACATCGATTTTAAGCATAACTTATAAAGTAAAAGATAGTTTTGAAACTGTAAATCATGCATGTGTAATACAAACAAAATTTACATTATGCATGTATTATACATGCATAATATATAATAAACAATGATGAATAATGTGATTTCTAAATTTTTGCAAAATTTTTAAAATCAAATCAGCATCTAATCTGCATCCATGCATACAAGATAACTACAAATAAATACAAGTATGGGCAGTCTGGTTAATGTAGTAGATAAGCCCCTTGAAACTATAGCAGCACATTAAGTCAATTCTCCATACAGTATCTAATAGTATTTTCTTTGAAAATATATATGAAAAAGTTTCATGTAGTACTAAAATTGTTCATAATTTATAAACTTCATTAAAATGAAAATGTGAATATGTATCTATTTAAAGTTAAAAATTCTTAACGTCTAACAGAATTTTGAGATTTTCAAAGTAATGCAAAACCCATCTTGTAAATTCCATTAACAAATTTCATCATTTCATTATATCATTTTAAGTAGGGATGAATTTTTCTATAAATAATTTTGTAAAGATTTTAAGTTTTCATTGTTTTACATATTATGACTAACTTAACAAATCTCAGCAAACATCTGTCTTCTGACACATAAATATACTTTGGATATAAATATGTGACTTCTCAAATCAGTTTTGTTGGTACAACTTTGCTTCATAATCCACAAACTAAACTAAAACTACTTCTCAGCATAAAACTTTGAAGTCTTAACTATATTTGTAATAATCTTTACTCAGACATTTAATAATCAAGAATGTCTATGATTTTCAATTTTATAAAACAATGACAAAATTAAAAAACAAATCTTTTGCTTATATAAAATTCTTTCAATAAGCTATGATTCTAAATTTCCATAAAATATTTGACAAAATCAGAACAGAAAAGATTGTGTAAGCTGTTAAGGATCTTCTAAATGACATACAAATAATTTTTTCTCTTAGACATTTTTTCTTAAATCATCACACTTTAAATGATAATTTGTTAAATGCCGTGAAAAAATTATAATATAGAAGCAAAGAAATATTTTTCTTTGCTTCTATATTATAATTTTTTTAGTTTAATTTTAATTGTTTAGAAATCTCAATTATATTATAATATAATTGAGATTTCTAAACAGAGAAATAAATACTTCCATGTCATAAAATACCATGTCAAGAATATCGGAAAGTTGCTGTTTTATTATTATTGTAAATTTAAGCAACAATGCAAAAAAGTTTTATATGTAATATAATTTTAATGTTTTTTTTTGGGGAGGTATTTTTCATTGGTACACTGAGAGAAAGTTTTTTAACCCATTGCTCATTGTACACTTTGTAAAATAAAAATAAAATTTCACTAACAAAACAACCATTAGTTACAGAGCAAAGTCTAATTTTGCCAAAGCGTTTTTTAGATTCTTCTCATCTTCAGAGGTATTTTGTATAGATCACTAAGAATGAAAAGACGGACTTTTCTGAAAATGTTTTGGCATAACAAAAGTTTTCCGAACAAGTTTGTCATCGACACAATATTTCTAGATCTTTACCAATTATTCATAGTTAACCTTAAATCAATACTACATCAACTCAAAATACAATCAAATTCCAATTATGCCCCATTTGTTCTATTTTTGTTTTACCATCCTTCACTTTCAGTATCTTAGGACATAGGCTTTGCCTCACAATTCTCCAACCATGAAATGCAGCATCTAGGAGACAATAATATTTAAATACGGTATTTATTTACAAATCTGTTCCTATTACAAATACAAAAATTAAATAAATTTTGAATATATTATAATTATTTCCATCAGTATTTAATTAATATATTAATTATCCATTACACTCAAATAGATTTAAATTGTATTTGTAGTTGGACAAACAGATAATAAAACATAACAATTACCAATGTATTTGTATATTTTCTAGAAAGTCTGTGCACTCCATCTTCAATTTTCTGTCATTTATTGTAATAATATGGGAAATATTTTGTAAATTTGATTCTAGATCCCATTATTTATCTGTTCTTCAACTACAAATTTAAAAATATTCTTGTATTAATTAATGTAGAGAACAGGTTCCACACAGATTTGTGTGGGGATGCAACCTTCAATAGTGAATATCATTCAATAACTACTTTTACAATCATAAAACAAATTGTTAATTTTTTTAATTCCGTGCATTAATATCATTGGTTATGCCTTATTATTTTAAAACTTATTTATAATTTTATAATGTATACAATCAATACAACTCGCAATATATAATGGTCCATGTAGTGTATAAATGAATGACGTAAAGCTTTCCCACGTGGTTATTAGAATTGGCTCGAGCGCAAGTAATTAACGAATAAATGCATGGTTCCGTCCTTACCGAACACATTGCAAAACCCGAAATCCTAAATAGCGAACTTACGTGAAATTCATTATATCGAATCATTTTCCGCCCATTCATTTAGTACCTACAGTACGTCCGGGAGTAGGTTCGGCCATAGAAACCGATAAATCCGCAATTTCAATAATATCGCGTAAGAGGAATCTAAACGATCGCACTCGCGACGATTCAAAGCTCCTTTTTTACAAATTATCGACTCGAGAAGCGGACGGAGTCTACGACAGGAATGAAAAGAAAGGGGAGGCGAACACGTAGGAAAAAAAAAAAGATGCAGCATACACGGCAGATCGGATGTGGCCGGAAGGGCGATAGGTGGCGCATACCGGAAGCGAAATAGCTAGGGCGGGAAGCGCGGCGTACCGACTTCCGGTGGAGCGGTTGGCGAATTTTTCGAAAAATCGGCGGAAGGAGCCGCCGCGCCGACGTAAAAAGGGGTAAACGACCTCGAGCTGGACGTAGGCGCGGAGGCGGGGCGTCTTTCCCGCCGAAAGAAAGAGGCTTTCCGAGAAGTTCATCCGGGTATCGGCCGACTTTCCGACGTAAATAGCGGGCAGAAAAGAAAAAAGAGAGAGACATTCCGCGCGGACGGAACCACTTCCGAGCCGGGGCGGAGCTAAACCGGAGGAGGAGAGGCCGGACCGGAAGCGGGAAAGGTGCCTCCCACCCGAGACGACGGAAGTCGGACGCCCGTGCAGAGGGCGCTCCACCCCGACAGAAGTGGGAGAGTCCGGCGAGATTCAGCTGACAGCGAGAGTATCGTCGGGCGAGTCGGCGTAGGGATGAGGGAAGTGTGAGAAGCGCGCGCCATCACGGTTCTTTGTCTCGGCCATGACACCGAAGGGCCCGTCTCCGGTTTCGGGGCCGGCGTGGGCCGCGGCCCGCTAGCCGACGGAGCGGTGGAGAGGCGGCCGAGAGGACGAGACGGCGGAGCAGCGCCCGCACCCGGACCGCCGCTCTGAGATGCTCAGATACCTGACCCATAAACTCCGCACTCAGTCGCTCAACGAAGGCGATCCGCCGCATTCCAAGGTGAGTACAGACTTACGTAACCGTCATCGACCGCGCCGGATCCGTCTTCCCCCGTTCCGCGCTTTTCTTTTCTTTCCCCCTTCGATCTCCGTCTCCCGGTGACGTTCGGGATCCATCTTGACTCGTCTCCCACCCGCTACGCCTCCGCACCGGAAACGGCCCCTCGACCCTTCCGCAATCGAACCCGGTATCCCCGCTCCGAGTCTCGTATTCGTCGCGCCATTTATTGCCAAAAAAAGGGGGGTCTCACCGTGGTGGTGCGTGTTCCGAGGCCGCCCGGTTTTTTCGTACGCGAATGTTCGCGGGAAAAATTGTGGTAACCAAAATGTCTAGGAAGTCGCGATTACGTACGTAAATTTCGTTGTTTTTATTCTCACGCGGGGTGAAGAGGTGTCCGAACGAGGTGTGTTTAGTCGAAAAGGAAACGATGGACCGAATGTATTGACCGGACAAATTTCCAAGATTTTCCGAGATCCTTCGCCGATTCGAGACGGGTTTTACGCGATTCACCCTTGGGTATGAATGCATTTACGGGTGCAGAATCTTTCCGATTCTCTTCCTAATTTGTATTTGCGCTCGTTTATCCTCTATCGGTTATTTATAATAGAAATTTTGAACCCGTTGTTTATAAACAAACTGTTGACTCCGCTTCGCTTTTGCAGTGTTCATTAATTTACTGTTGAAGCTCGTTCTTGTGATGGTTATCTGTACTGTACTTAAAATATGATGGTCCTCCCGTTGCATTATTCTGGTTATTTTGTTTGGAAACATTTGTGCCCGAGTCTCCCGGATTACAGTATTTAAATAGCTACTTGTTATATTGTAATTATAAATTGCACAATTATAGATTATTATTATTATTATTTTCCTAAAGAATATAATCTCACTTTTTTTCTTTGATATTTGCAAATTGATGTAGTGTTATAAATGTAGAAAAGCACTTTTATAATATAAATATTGAATGTAGTTTTATAACAATTATTAGTTCTTGTTTCTTTTTTATATTTGTTATAAAGTGGTATTTCGTTTGAATTTTTTTTTTTTTTTGGAATTTCAATTTGCTTAGGGAGATTGACTGTATCTTAAGTTTTAAATTCCCGGCACTGTTGCTTGTTTGTATTAATTAACTTTTAGACATTCATATTTTTCTTTTTAAGATTTTAAAGAATTCAAAATTTTGATACATAAATGTTCGTCATTCAGAATTTGATTTATTTGTGGCTTTGATATAATTTTGATCATTATTGATATTTAAGTTAAGAGTAAAAATTGTCCAAATGATTGCCTTTACTCTTTGTATTAGGAAATAACCCAATAACTTACGAATTTGTGTGTAAAAACATGGTTCCTGTATTTGTTGGAAACATTTTTGGAACTGAAATTGGTTTCCTCTTGTTGTAAGATATTGCCTTATATTTATTATTGTTTCAGCAAACATTTACATGCAAGCCAAAGATGAATTGCATTTGGTTCAAAAATAGTTTTTAAACAGATACAGAAACAGTTTTTTATTTGATAATTTTACCATCAAATAGAAATAGTTCTAAATATAGAACTTAAAATCCAAACTCTCACTTTCATTACTAGAATATTTTTACAGATTACTAGATAATTGAAAATTAGAAATCTTTCAATACATTTTTTTTGATTAGGAAATATGAAAAATCAAAACTTTATTAGTCTAATTTTAATTTAGATTTTAAATAATTTCAATATTTATCTGAGAGTTACAGAATGTAGCTACAGTTGAAAGTCTGTTTATATTAAATATTGATTAATATCAGAATCACTTTGCATGTGCTATTTGACAACTTGGGCATAAAATTATGCAGGAGCATCTTTGTCTTCTAGATGGTTCTTAGTGAATATGTGATATGTATTTTATTTTTTTTGAAAACATTGCTTGTTTTAGATTAAAAATTGAATCATTCTACTGTTTATTCATATCCAAACTCTGCACTGAATATAAAGCAAAACCATTCTTGTCTTTGTCATTCAATTTGTAGATTGTTATAGTATGTACCATTATATCTTTCATGCTTAATGATTATGTGAAATCTTTATTTCACATAATTGTAAATCCTTGTCTTATACCTAATCTTGTAAATTCTTGTAAAGTTTGGTCTTAGATGGATTGAGATGATCTAGAAATTTACACTGGAATGAGTATGTGAACTTATTCATTTTATTCTTAAATGAAATAATACATGATAACACAAATTAAGTTACAAAAATAAAAACTTTTTAAATCTGTTTTCTCCAAACATAAATAAATGAAATATGATGCTGATATCGTTTACATAGTAATTGTAACTGGATACTTATTAACCATTTTCTTTTTCTCTCTTTGATGAAAATTGGAAATTTTATTTAAACTAAGAATGATATAGATTAAAATCATAATTTAGTTGTTTAAAGCACAAAGTAACTTATATATTTCTTAATGCTTTCAATTGTTCTGCAGGAAAAATAACCAGCAATACATTTCACCTGAAAATATTATGAAATTAATAATCTTGAAAAAAAAATAAAATATTTTGCTTAATAATTGTTAGCTAAATAAGAACCTAGACCTCTGAATTACAAAATATATAACATTAATTGTAACAAATGGCTTCAATTAAAACATTAATAGACAATTATATTCACATTAAAAATTGTTGGCATATATTTTTAAATCCAGTTATAAAGTAATTAAATGATTATAGTTTGTGTTAGATATTACTTATTCTCCTTTTAAAATATAATTAGATCTCTGATAAATCAAATTTTTGAATAATTGATGAGTGATTTGGATAGCATCTGATTATTGTATTGGGCTTCAAAATTAAAAGGAAGCATTAATTGTTCTTATCGTGAAGATTATTTAACTGAAGCTTATGTATATATATCTAGGGGAGGATATATAAAATAATTTTTACGCATTGAGTGAATACTCATATTGACTTCATATTATAAATAAATGCTTATATATAAATATAGTATATAGATCTACTTATTTTCAATTAACTCAGTTAATTTACAGTGTTGTTTATTTATTTTTATTATAAATTACTTTTATTAATAAATCATTAAATTATAATTGGTGATGTTTTAAATTTGTGGCTTTCTTTGAGTAAGAAAGTTGATGAGTAAAATAGTTATTTTGAACTTAATTTTGAAATTAAGCATAACTAATAATTAAACTTGATTTAAAGGACTTTGGATTTAATGGACAAAAAATTTGTCTTAAAAGTTTAGAATTGTTTTTGTGACTAAGAGCTCACTAAAGTTGGGTCAATGAGTATAAACTACTAAATATATGTAACAATTTATTCATTCTTATACATTATAACAGCATTTTAATTCATTCTGTACATTGTTTTTTTAATTAATGTTTCTAAGATATGTTTGATTTAATGTACTTTTTGCAATAGCAGACAGTCGTCCCTTTCCCAATTAGTCCATCAAATTGAGGGTCTACTGTACTGTAGTAAAGTTTTTCTCCTTACATAGACATGTTCTTCAAAATGAGGCTTTTTGTATATACAAACATAAGTAGTTTTTACTTAACCTAAAAATTTTCAAAATATTTTCTATTTTAAAGAGTTGATTTTTTTTATAATTACAGTTTTCGTAGCAAGTAGATTGGCTGTTTGAGCTTTTATTTTCCTATGACATTAAATATGATTCTGATTTGAGTTCATTTGCAAGTGGTATAAAATTAAACATGAAACAATATTTTTTAAATATCTGGACTTTCACTTTAGAGTTAATTGCCAAAAACATGTTTGAAATTCACAAGGTTAAAATTTCTCCAGTTAACTTAATTAGCTTAAATTATAATCATAAGGCATAACTAGCAGCATTCTGTCTTATTAGGGAAGAGTTGTTGGATTTGAATTACATTCGAGGCAAATGTTTCTACATGTATAGAAAAGTTTTTAATTAAATTAATTCTTAAACATACTGAAGTACTACTAAAATAAAGGAGTCCAGTTTTTTATAATGCATAAAAATGTTTTTTGAGACTTTTAAGAATTTTGCCATCAATGTCCAACCAAATCATTTACAGAATAAAAGATGCACTCAGTAGCATTCAATCTGTTAATTCCAAATTCCATCTTTCAAATTTAAGTGAACATTCTAAAATGTTTTGTCATTCACAGAAATGGTATAAAAATAATAACCATAGTTTTATTTTTATTTTAGTAGTAATAAATAAAAATAGCTGATGGTAAGTTTAAGGATTAATTCTTGTCTCTTGTTTTTGATAGTATTACAGATTCTTGGACCTTTCTCCCTTAATATTGTCATAACTTCTTTATCATGTAAAAGCCAGACCCCAGGGGTTCAGGTCGTTCCCTTAGATTACACATTCCAAATGGGATTGGTGGTATAGCTATTATAAACTCTTCCACTGTTCTTGCTTGTATGCTGTCCATTTTCAGAATGCACAACCTTGGTTCTTGTCATTCAATGTAACCTGCTTATTGGATATAAGGTATTCTATGTTGAAATTACTTTGCCTTTTCTTATATCTTCTCTTCAGAGAATGACAGATACTCCCTTATGTAGTCAAATGGGAGACTGTTTTGTTACAATCACTGGAAATGGATTTGTATTTACATCACTTGTCAGTGAGCTGTGGAATTGGACAAGGAGTATACTGTTAAGTTATTTAGAAAGGTCAAACCAATTGATATACAAATAATTTTCCTTGTAATATTTTTGTTTTGATTAACAACTAAACAACTGGCATCCAAATTATTTGAATTTACAAAGACTTTTAAATCCACATGGCCAATTCAACCTGTTATTGAGAAATGCTTCTCACCTATAATAAAAATGATTCATTCATGAAAGAATGATTAGTTGCCCTACTTAACTCATTTATGTAGGAACCCATATATAGTTAACAACTCTTAGATAGTGGAGAAACTGAAAAATTGACCTCTTGATCTGTAAGATGTTCACCACGATGGATTATAAGAACTTATTTCTGTCCTTAAAATTACAGG